TATGTAAGAAATAGTAACAGCTTGCACAAATTGTGCACAGTCTGAGATTTTAGGAGCAAAGGATGTGCTCCAGGGTAATGTATTTAGGAGCATAGTGAAGCGCTCGTACTAGTGCAGTACTAGTACATAGCTCAGGATATTATTTGGCCAAGAGGGCAGTCCTGTTTTCAATGTCATAAACAGTTACATACTTCTCAGATTAGAGCTGTCTACTACTGCTAATTGACACAAAGTGGGTCCCCCCTCCTTCCCCTGCCCCCAGAAATTCCTAGAACAAAAAATAAGCTTTCCAAACGTTATAAAAGGTTATTTATTTGAACACTTATTGTTCAAAAAGTTTGACTGACCAGAAAACCCAGATCCATACCTACACAGACAAGAAATTTTGGGGGGGTTTAAACTAGCAAATCCTTTCCCGCATAAACACATATCTACTCTAAAGGAAACACTTCTAAGGATAAGACAATAGTACAATGTCAATAAATCAATTCAAAGGTTTAAAAAAAACCCAAAAAACAAAACAAAAAAATCTGACAACTGCAATAGTTCCTATAACATGGATATTATCCACTATGCTATCCATGCAACTCATTTTATACCTTACAAAAGAGAGAGCCTTCAGACAATAGCATCCGCTTATGTTCAAACTGGGTCAAGTCTGAATCACTGTTTAGGTTATCATGATCACAACCCAGAAAAGCCTCTATGACACAGAAATAGCTTAGGGAAAAATGAGGGAGCATATTATACATTTCTAACTATGGTGTTCTTTATGACACTAACAACAAGATTCCCCTTTTCTCTCAAATTTGCTTAAATATTTATTTCTTTAAAAGAAAAATAATATTGAAATCTCTGCTGATTGTCTCCTACCTAATATTACCATTTTTATCATTCACTATGGGTTAATCATAACTGACGTAGAAATTCCCTTATTTTCCTCTAATGAAACAATTAGTAATTAATCATTTATTTGTATGCCACTGAAACTGTAGAGTTCTATTTTGTTTTGGGTTTTTTTTTTTTTAATGAATATGCTTTCCTATACCTACATACTTTCTGTATAATCACTCTGACTGGCTATTATAGAAAATATAGCTAGAAGCCCAGAAAGAACAGTATAAATGCAAGATTATAATCACTTTACTACTGATTTCAATTCAGTTTACCACTCCACTCCAGCATTTCCACTGCATTTTACAGTGAAATTTAAATGGCTTCAATATAAGAGAGGTTGGTCTTTAAAGAAGATAGAAGAAAAAAAGTCACGGACATAAAATTTAGTTTACAATTCTCCTTTGTTTTCTCAGCAAGTTTAAAGAACAGTAAGCTACTTAATAATATCGATAAAACACTGAAAGAACAAATTCACACTCTAGGCCTCAATGAAAAAAAGGGGCAGCAAAAGGAAAAAAAAATTGTTTATATTGAGCTTCCAGTCAAATTAGCAATTAACAAAAATCATACAGAAGGAAAGGAAATTTATTCATCCTGGAAATTTTCAAACTTTTTTCCTTTTCTTTTTTTCTTCAAGATTTCAATTTGTTCTCAAATTTTGCTGATGGCATATTTTTCCTTCTGAGGGGAGCAAAATGCCCTTATATCCTTCATCTTGCTCTTCATGTATACGTTACTGTCCTTTTTACTTACTCTGAATCTCCTTCCCTACCACAATATAACAATCTATTGAAATTGAAGTTTTTCTCCAGCAACATTAAATGGAATAGTGTCAAGTTGCTGCCCTTAGTCAAGTGAAAAATTGAGCAGTGTTGTATTACTTCTAACTTAAAAAAAAGTCAATGAGAAGAGAATATTCATGGGAATAATAGCTTAATAACTAATAGCTTACTTAATATTCTATTTTCACATATATTCCGAGTTCAGAGTTTGTGTACTTTCTTATTTTCCATCTTTAAAAGAACAAAACGTTTTGCCAAGGCATTTTTTCCTCCCCATATAAGAGAGGTACATATACGGATTAGAAAGGAGACTAATACATTTATTGATGTTTTGAGATATTTGCCTGCAGAATACCTCTCAGCCCTGCCATTGGCCTTCGTGAAACCTGATAAAACTATTCCCATATGCTAATAGACCTTATGAAACCAAAACTACCTTCAAAGAAAATTATTACGAAAAAATTATGAGTAGTTCATGTGAAAACAAACTTACACAATTAAAAACGCGTAGACTTGTAAAAGCAATTGTACTGGAAACAAAGTTCTCATATTTAGAAAGAATATCACTGTGTACTAAGATCATTCTTGTTATAAAAAAAAATTAAATTATTTAAGATACAAAAAAAAAGATGAGTGCTGCTATCCCAGAAACTGTAGTAGATGGCTCTGACAACCTGAAATCTCTCACTAGCAAAAAAAAATAGGCTAATTTTATCTGAAGCAGAAAAATTAGCATTCAAGATGCAATTCATTCAGATTTCATTCAGTTCACGAACAGCACAGTATCAGAGGTATGTGAACTTTGCTCCTGTTTTTTTGTTTTCTTTTTTCTCAGTTGATTACATTTATCACTCTTCCTACTACAGACAACTGGTTTGTATGTTGTCTGACAAAATCCATTAACTTTCGTGGATTACACTTCCATTGTCTTCTCCCAAATTCCTCTCTGCATTTTCTTCATAACTGTACCTTTTTCTTATTTTACCTTCTGCTTTCTGAGAGCCTATAAGTTAGTGATTATTACTTAAGTGATAACACATAAGTAACAAGTAACTTGATTTTTGCTAAACTCCTTGCTGCTTAAGTATAGAGTTTCTCCATTACTTTTTTCCAATGACAGTAAAAATTAGTTTTCTCTATTTACACACCATATTAATTAAAATGTTATCGCTAATTAATTATGGGACACTGCTTTTACAATAATACAACATTTAAGCCAAGATAGGGTTTCACATTAAAAGCTTCAATATGTTTAAAACGTATAGTATGAAACCAGGGAACTATCTAATATTTTCATGTAAACTACATTCTATAAAAGAATCAGTACTGGTCCTTTTTCTACCCTGCTTCTAGATTCTATTCTGCATGGCTCTGTTTAAAAGAGCAAACAAATTGTTTTAGAAGTATTATTATTACTTTATAATGCACCTTCCATAATAGGTTTGAATAACCTATAGGTTTGAAGCACCAACTTACAAAGCTAGCAATCCATAGGGTTATGCAATTGCCAGCAGGAAAAACCTGAACAGCTAACCACTTTAAGAGCTAAGCACTAATTCATGAAATAAATTTTATCCATATATGCATGGCAGGCTTTTCTAATTGCTAAATCACAACACACACACACAGATTGGTATACACACTATGTATGTATTATGACTTTGAAGCTCATTTAAGTAACACAAGTAACGTAAACTACCTTTGTTACTTAGATTTGACTTTCTGCCTCAAAAGGTCCAATTCTTATCTCACTTCTCCAAAATATACTCCAAAGCTTCACTAATCCCTCCTACCACATTTATACCCAAGTTTACACAAACTTCAATGAAGTTACTACTGATATGGACTTGTATGAAAAATTTAATGGAGCACAGATTCTTTAGTTGAAATGAGTTTAAGCCAATAACAACATGAATACTGACTTCCCCTTATTTCATGCTGATTTTTTTATCCTGAGTCTATTGTTTAAATCTTGCTCTCCCACGTTTTCATCTGAAGTAGTTTTTGATAGATTTTTTTTTAAATCATAACAAATCATAACATACATCCAAACAAAGTTGAAGGCTATGTCTGACCTATACAAAAAAGGTCATAGCAACACACATTCCAATATGCTTTCATTATGAAAAAGGTTGCATTTTTACACCAATTAAAAGTTTTATAATACAAAGATAATGATAAATTTGAGATTTAATCTCTCTGTTCTAATATTTTAGCAGGGTTTTTCCTATAGCATTTAAGTATGCCAAGCAGCTTTCACAATTTTCATAAGAAAAGTGCTCCTGTCCTAATTTTATTTCATTACCATATTTATTATTCCACTGCTTTATCACTATATATTGTCCTCATATAGATATATATTTATATATATTTTATATATATATATAATATATATATTTTATATAATACAGTGTGTGTGTGCGTGCGTGTGTGTTTGTAAGCAACTGTAATCTCTCCCACACATCTCAGATACTGTTTAGCTAGAATATATTGTACTGGGTCCTTGGTCATAATCTAGCAGTGACTGGTGCAATAGAAGCTCTAGTCTAGTCATTCTAAAATTTTCTCAAAAATGCTATTTTGAGCCAATATTTCAGGTTAAAAGACCATAAATCAAAAGACATTTTAAAAAATTCTCCTCAATCTGGGATATCTGTTTTGATGGGGGTGGGACAGTCACCTTTTCCACTTCAGGAAAACACAGACAAGTTTTCAGGGGGATGATATACAAATAAAATATGGTGAAATCCCTAAGTAGGTAAGCAAGTATTTTAACTAATCTTTCAAGCCAGTACTTGAAAGCAAACTAGTATATAGGAGTCATACAAAACAGGTTTTCTTCTTTTTGTCATTTTGTTTCATAAACTGTTTTTCATATTTGGGCAACAACAAACATTCTCCATCCTTTGGGGATGGAAGCTAGATGTATAGTACCTAATGACTTAAATAACACCAGTTCTTGAGGCAGTAAAAGTAATAATAAAAAGTGTTCATATGCTGGTGCCTCTGTAGTAAACAGGGAATATAATTATTGCAATGATGAGTAAAACGTGCCTGACCATCTGACCTACTACAGATATACATAATATGCAGCACTACTAGTAAATCTACCTCACAGGAAATGGTACCCTTAAAAGCATAGTAACGAATCTGGAAGAATATACTTTTTTTTTAAATTGCAATAAATTAAAAGTTGTTCTGATGTACAACTATGCCACAATATGATGTCCACTGAAAATCAAAACAGTAGTTTTTAAAATATCATTTCAATCTAACTTTTTCTATGTAAACTGAAATCTGTGATATTTCAGGAAAAAAAATCTACTTAACCTGTAAAAATAAGAGAATATAGTACAACATGACATTGTCGATAATACTCACTGACGATGAGCCCAGCATGGATTTTGGAGATCTTATAATTCCAGCTATAGAGTGACGTATAGTGTCAAACCTTGAAACTTTGTCCTTCTTATCCTAGGAGGAAAAGTAATATCTCCAGTAAAACCAAGCAATACAGATCAATACAGATTTACCTCTGAGCACTGATAATTGAATTGTTAGAGGGTATGGAACGTAGACACATGGATTTTGTTTAAGATATGGAGGACTGATTCTCTACTGATTCAAACAAGTAAGCTTGTATCAGCATCGATGAGATTATGCTAAGGCATACGGACCGAAAAGCTGAAAAATTCTGCTCTTCCTCAAACATTTTTGCAATTATTTTAAATATCACTATTGTTAGCCATAGAAGAGAACTGAAATGCTTTTGTTGCCTAAAAGCAGAAGACCTATTTCTCAGCTGAACTGTAATACCTGGTTTTGAAAAGGTTATTGGTTTGAAATCATATAATAAAAATATATAATAAAGTACATACTTGCATTATCCTTACTTAATTTCTGTTTTCTGCTGTTATTAATTTGTTCTTCTCTACTAATACACTACTTGTAAATATTAATACCAATCAGTGCAACCGATAGGATCCACTTGTTTTCCGATATTACAGTAAATCATAGGGGCTGACATCACTCTCTGTGTTGAAATTCCGTAAGAACAGGGCTATTCAGTAAAACTGGAACACGAACCAGCGTTTAACCATCTCTAATTAAGCATAAGTCAAGGAAAAGTCCAACGTGCTTATAACTTGACTCAGTCCAAGGACCTTATATATTCCCTAATCTCTGACTTATTGTCCGCTGTCAAAATTCAGTATCAAAGAATCTTTTCAAAACCACAGAAATCTCTTTTTAACATTGAAAAGCTTACTTATTTCCTCATAATTTCACCCTGAAAACAGTCAAGGTATTCTGATGAATATTTTCAAAATATTTAATTGAGAGGCAGAGGGATGACACACTAAGATTCTCATTCTAATTAACTATACGTTAACTAAACTGTAAGAAATTGAAAACGGAGCCAGAATACATCTGTCTGGTAGTGTTTCAAAAAAAGATTGCTTCAAAGTTTTGAACATACTGTCTTGACTGAAGAAACTGAACATTTGATAATGTAATAAATGCTGTTTCAGTTTACTACAAGAAGGGTGAATGAGCAACAAAATCTATTAAGCCTGCATACAGAATATAGCACTGTTTAAGAATGACTCCTGAATATAGTTTATAGTATGTAGGTTAAATATTATATAATTAAAACAGATTTACTTATTTAGCATCAAATTTCTATAATATTCCATAATTTGTATGCTATGACAGGAAAAAGGAACGTTTCATATTGAAATAGTCAAAAGGCTAATAGATAGTTTACTGGTCACTGAAATTAACACCCACTATGCGTCCACTTACCCATAACAACATTTTTATTCCTCAGAGTCAAGTAATATTGCTTGTTAGCTCATTTTCTGATAATAAAACACTTTGTCCTTAGCTCATTGGTAAGTTTATCTCAATTTTATTTTTTAGATATTGATGGATTAAATCAGCTACTTAAAAGAAAGATTAATAATGAGGGGATACTGTGCCAAATTTTGGCTGCATGCCTGTCAGGCTTGTAATGATCAATTCATTTCATAAATCTCTTCACAAGTGAGGCATGGGTTTTAGCTACGATTAAATGTCTATTTCTTCCATGAAAGGGAGGGAAAAAAAAGTCACCAAAATATGCATGAATTCCATTGTTTCCTCTAAACAAACTTAGAAGTTTTAATTTTATTTTGTACTAATAGCATGCTTATCTAATGATGATAAACTACAAGTAAGGTTCTACATTCATCGATTTGTCCGCACCTAAAAATCTTTTTAACAAGGTTTCCAATAGAGACCTGAGCTTTTTTTGAAAGGGTAGTAAAAATACTGTTTCAGTGCAACAGAAGAAGAAAAAGGTAGAGGAACTCTGCTTAATGCACAGCTCATCTTACTACCACTGGACTCATGAACTGGACCTCACCACAGGACTTTGCTAAGGATCACAGAATGATGGTCTTATTGTCTCACTAAATAGAATGAGTATTAAAACACACATTTAAATCATAAACTAGCTCTGCTCAATATGCAATATATTCATAAACACTTTGCAGTATTTTCATAGCACATTCCCTTCAACATATTCAAAATACTCTGCATCTTACAGGAATGAAGCCTAACAATTTATTTCCACAGCAGGCAGTAACAATCATTACAACAAACACAACTGTAGCCTGTACTGAGTTTATTTACACTTTTTAAGCATTTTTACAGCATTTTCAAATATACTTGAAGTGCAGCACCAGTGGTCTCTTACCATATTTTATTGCCATTGCCCAGCTGCAGACCACTTCAGGAGGAACCGTTAGGTCTTGCAGGAAATCAGTTTTCACTGAGGTACTAAACAGTACATACATCAGGACTAAGAGATTTTTGTATGCATATTAGATATAAATTATTCCCTAAATTAATATAAGAATACAACCCAGAACAGCCCACCCACATTTTGTTATGTACACTGTCCTATTAGTTAAGTCAGGGTGTCTGCTTTAATCTGCTTCCCAAAGAAAAGGAAAATATGCACTAGTGCTATCTATCAGTTACCTCTCAGTCAAGTCCGTCAAAATTTGGTACATATCCTGAAAGGAGTATTAGGTTAGGATTTCTGAAGGAAGCCAACAGAGCAGACTTTGTGTCCCCCAAAAGAAAAGTTCATTATAATTCCATACAGTCCCCATCCCAATCAACATCAGCCACCTGACTGAGCAGCACAACCAGGCTGCCTAGGCCGTCAGCACAGAAGCTTCAAAAGCGAGCATTAACACACGCTACCATTAGAGCGGCAAACTGGTGAAGAAAACTGGAAAGGAGCTAAGTACAGGGATGCAGTACAGCCTGCAGTGTTGACAGAGGATAAAAATCTGTAGGAAACCAGAGGTAATTAATTCCAGTGTTCGTGAAGCAACTTTCATTATGATTGGCAATGCAGTTTTTCTTCCTAGAATACAGAATGCAGCTTCTAACATATATTAACTGATTCAGTTTCATTCTAGTTTAAATGAATTACTTTCAGAGGTATTAGCAAGATGGTAGCATGATTTGTCATTTACTTTATTTTACACTACACCAATTTCATTAAAAAGAAAACTAATCCTGGGCCTGTAATACTTTATGCAAAGTTTGAATTACTGGAGAATAAATTATAGCTTACCTTTACATAGTTAAGATACTAAGGAAAATATATACCATCATGAGAGAGCATTTTAAAACTATTTCACTGACTGTATTTAAAATGTACCTGTGGCATGAGAGCAAATTATGCAAGGAATTATGAAAAGTGCACTGATTGATATTTCACTTTTAGCACTAGCCATACTTCTAATCACCCTCCAGAGTGATTAAAATGAGAATTAAAATGAGCGTCCATGAGACCTGGGATTGTTATTTAGATTAGGCCACAACTTTTCTATGCACTGGATAGGTATAACTGGCAAAATGCAAGGCATTGTTGCTTTTATTTCCAAACGACAGAGAAGAGGTTTATTAACATAAATTACTAATTTATTGAAGAAGGGATTGATAGCAACTACTGTAACCATCAGATCAGAGTGCTCTGTCATATTTTCTGAAGCAACCAATTACAGAAGCAAGAGTATTACCATTCCACCACTGAGAACCAAGGAATGCTGAAATGCTATTCCCAATTGTGTACATCTCAGCTACTCGTCTCATTTTGGTTTTCTTTTTTCTTCTTAAATACTCTGAAGAATTATCTCAGCAATTTTAAAGAGATGACATACTATAAGCCAATCACTTCAGCACTCTTGCTTTCTTTTTTTCCTGTTCTGAATAGAGGCAGAGAGAAAAATAAAGCATAAACAAACCACAAAGTCGTCCAGGACTCAGGACATCTGAAAAATGCAAGTAAAGCACTCCCTATTTTGCTTGAGGATTGCCTATTAATTTTGCTGAAGTGCATCTTTGTATGTGACATACAGAAAACTGAGCTTCTGTATTTTGTCTGTTCACTTTTGAGAGTTTTGTGCAACATAAAGTACTCTCCATTTTGATACACTTTCCACCAGAATTTAGCTTCTGTGGTCATCCACTATAACTGCGAGGGTCCTGTTGACAAAAATCTCCCTTTTGGCAGATATATAGTCGTTTTGCTGGGCAAAAACACAGTTCTCCAGATATTGGAGTACATGAAAAAAAATAGAGTACACCCAGAAATGTAACACAATCAAAATGACAGACCATAAGAATCACACTTGCAATAGTATTTGGAATGAACTTGAGCAAGACAAAGCAACTGTGCAAAAGATTTTGCTCAAATTACTCTTTAGCTGTATGAATCCAGAGGAAAGGCTGTATATTAAAATAAACAAACAAAAAAAATCCTCGGTGTTCTTTAGAAAAAGAAGGAAGTAAGAAGCTGGAGAGAGATCTAAGACAAAGATCAAACAGAATCAAAGCTTTTGAGGGTCAGGCAAACAGTAGCATTTTCTGTAGTAATCAAAAGCTAGAAGATTAGCAACAAGAGGAACAACTCACTGCAGCGTATGTTCAATTCTGCTTAAAAAAAAAAGAAAAAGAAAAAAAGAAATACAAACAGCCAGGCATGCACATATAGATAGGCCAATACTTTAATATTACTCTATTCAAAGACAGACCTGCCTGATGGCTCAGTTATGAACCATCATCCTAAGTACAACAGTCGAATGTGGACTTGCAAATGAAATTAGAGAACCTTCACAAGAAATTTAGAAGGAAATATGAGGAGGATCCTCCAAGAGAAAGAGGGGAGACACTCTCAGAAGTAACAGGAAAAAATTTCAATCGCAAGAACATGGCCAGTGATATCTAGAAGGTGAGTGTGAAAGTACCAGTGCTGAGGTCTAGCATCATTTCTGGTTTGAAGACATGATTCCTCTGATGAAAAAGGTATCAGAATAACACCCTTCAAATTCAGATAACGTGGGGAATGAGGAGGATTTTTGCCCTTAGAAGGCTTAAAGACATCTGGAATGAGAATGGAGTTCTGTGACTTACCC